GGGCCGGTTCCTCGGTGCGCTGCCCGCCTGCGAGCACCTCCACAAGAACGAGAGCGTGCTCAAGGCCAAGGCCGTGGTGGCTTTCCACCGGGGCAACTTCCGCGAGCTCTACAAGATCCTGGAGAGCCACCAGTTCTCGGCGCACAACCACCCCAAGCTGCAGCAGCTCTGGCTCAAGGCGCACTACATCGAGGCGGAGAAGCTGCGGGGGCGGCCCCTCGGGGCGGTGGGCAAGTACCGCGTGCGCCGCAAGTTCCCCCTGCCCCGCTCCATCTGGGACGGCGAGGAGACCAGCTACTGCTTCAAGGAGAAGAGCCGCAGCGTGCTGCGCGAGTGGTACGCGCACAACCCCTACCCGTCCCCCCGCGAGAAGCGCGAGCTGGCCGAGGCCACCGGCCTCACCACCACCCAGGTCAGCAACTGGTTCAAAAACCGGCGGCAGCGAGACCGGGCGGCCGAGGCCAAGGAAAGGTACGAGTAAGTACCGCCACCCCTGCTGCTGCTACCCCGCGGCCCCCATCGGCGCAGGGACCCCGTGGCCTCGCCGCCCAGCTGCTGGGCTAACAGAGTACTCCCAGGAAAAGCCAGGCTTGAGCTGGGCTAAGAACGGGCTCCTAGGGAAAAGCCAAGTTGGAAGGGACCTTGGGCTGGGCTAAAAAAGTGCTCCTGGGAAAACCCAGGCTTGGACTGGGCTAAAAAGGGGCTCCTAGCAAAAAGCCAGGTTGGAAGGGACCTCGGGCTGGGCTGAAAAGGTGCTCCCGGGCTGGACGGGACTTCGCCTGCTCCAGGCAGGGCTCGAACCTGTAGCCTGGCGGGTGTCGGCCCCGCGCTGGGGGAGGGGGGTGCCCTGCAGTGCCGAGGGCAGCGGGATGGCTTCAAGTGCGTAGTGCCCGGCTTGCGAGGGGGGAGAAGGACAGGCAGGAGGGGAGAGGGAGCGCAGCGGGGATCCTGAGGCCCCAGGCAGGGCAGGCCGCGCTGAAAGCTTCGCCGGCTGCAGAGACACCTCCCCGCATTCCCTAGTCTGGCAGGTCGGGCGAGGGGGATCCACACAGCTCGGGCCGGGCTTTCTCTTGCACTCAAATAGGGCCGTGTCCTGCAGGCCTAGTGGGGCCGAGCTGCTGAGCGCAGGGCAGTGTGTGCTTTGAACGTGTCTTGAGCCAGGACGTAGGGGCCCGCACGGGCCCCGGGAGCAGGAATAGGGTCCGCAGCTTGAGGCCGGAGCCGCTCGGCTGCCCTGCTGCGGGGGGAGCCCCGCG